ATACATACATACATACATACATACATACATACATACATACATACATACATTACATACATACATACATACATACATACATACATACATACATACATACATACATACATACATACATACATACATACATACATACATGACATACATACATACATACATACATACATACATACATACATACATACATACATACATACATACATACATACATACATACATACATACATACATACATACATACATACATACATAGGTACCTAAGCGATAAATACATAAATACGCACACATACATACACATATGCATACATACACAAGCAAATGCTTTGGTAACCGAAGTTTTCAGTTGTAACTTCAAAAACTACCACAGAAGGCCAGTAAGTACTTAAACCATCTCACGGAATGTCTATGAGTACTAAAACTGTCTGACAGAATGTCTATCAGTATTGAAACTGTCTGACAGAATGTCTATGAGTACTGAAACTACCCCCAAAACGTCCAAAATGAAGCACATTTCCATTCTCTAATTTCTCTCGCCTGGAAAGTCTCGCGTAATTGTCAGTCATTACTAACCCTTGGTTGGTCAATATCGTCTGAAGAAAATGAAGAAATCAGGCCAGTTAAGAAGGAACCTTAAATAACGCTGGTTTTACCCCGGCCTGCCAGACTACTTGAGTATTCCATGTATATCAGTTTCTCCAGCAAATTGCAACAGTTTCCAGGCCCGCCAACACAAAGAAAACATTGCTGGTGTTGGTTTTGGAGACAGCCCTTTTTTCATTTTTCATTCAGCCTGTCCAAGGCACCCTTCTCCCGCCAGGTTTTTAGTCTACAAACCAGTGTTCTACGGATGTGAAAAGACTAAATCGGTTGTGATGGTACAACTGTAATTTTTTCTAGCGTGACAGCTAATAGTTTGTTTCCCGATGTATGGATGAACAATGACCTTGGCTCACAGGTCGACAATTCCTGAGAAATAAAGACATCTGACGTTATGCTGATCAGATCACCCACCGACTACCAACTGATCTATATAATATAGGTATAGCTTTATATACGAATGCGCCAAAAAGAGCAGAAGAGAGACATATATATTGATGAGGCTGACGCAAGAACACTGACCTGACTGGTGATCGTGCGAGATGATGAAATATGATAGCCTACGCTTATCTCTACGGAACATCATGATGACGATGATGATATTCTTAATTAGCTTTCATAAACTGTGGTAATGGCACGACAAATACAACGTACAGATGGGCTGACTGTCATAACCTAAGTCAAAGATGTTGAATTTTTAGAGACTAATAATTTTTAGGAAAGTTTTCTTTCATCTTCCTGGATATTTTGTAAATACTTTGACACTGGTGTGTTTGATAGCAGCTAAGCCGTACACTAGGGCAACAAAGCCAACTTTCCCAACGACAAACGAAGAATACAGATGAAAGACAAATTTCGTTTGAATTCTATTAATGTCTTAAGGAAATAAAAGTCTCGCTAAAGTCTTTGATTTTCCTATTTTGATATCTCTGCCTGGTCTCTAACGCTAGAAAAGTTTCTGTGAAAAAGGATTTTTTTTGAAAGATTTGTCTGATTGTTTTTTGTTTTATTTGTACTCTTGTGGATATTTGTGTGGGAGTCTGTAGCTTGGACGTAGCAGGGTTGCGATGTCGCTGCAAAGGTAAAAAAAAAAGGATAAGTCGTGTTGTCTGTAAACAAGTGATACTACTAGTGTGACACTATGGAAGTGATTCAAGCCTGCCTACCTATCATACCCCAAGACGGAAGTGGGTACACTGCAGGCAACCTTCTTTATGGAGAAGCTACATCTTTTTTTTTTTTTTGATGCATAAGTTCGTAACCAGACAAGTCGTCATGATCTTGAAATCCAAGCCCAACACACTCGAGTGGATCATTCATAGTTAGGATGGTATGGACATGTATGTAAGGTTTGTTGCGTATCCTTTACAGGACTTTGCCCGCATCTGGGATCGAACAAAGCATCCCGGCATTACGAAGCGTTCGCATCGACTTAGCCACAGAGCCGACGGACATGCATGTAGAAAAGGGAAATACTCGGCCACCACGGTTGGCACGGAAGGCCTAGAACCAGGGAACTAGACCACCAGGACGACACAGGGTTTGCTGCGAAGACAATATCCGACATTAACTGAGGAAAGTGATGTCTGGCGATCTTTCTGTTAAATCTCTACATCTCAAAGTAAAAGATGATTGACTAAGTAAGAATATGTGAGCTCATCTCTGTGTAGTAGTTAAGTGTACTTGCCAGCTAGGATAATTGTTATGTCTTCAATTACAGGATGTTTTCTACCAAAGGCATTAACGGTTGATTTGGCTTCATAAAATTCCGCATCCAGTAAGTTCCAGAAATTTCTAATAATTGTCAGCGAAGATAAAGGCGACGAGAGAGTAAACTGGGTATCTTATTTTTATATCTCATTTTACAGAACAGTCTAACCTTGGGGCGCGACTCCCTAGGGGCGTGAGGAGGTTTAAAGGGGGCGTCAAGTAATTTTCACTGATTTCATTCGTACCTGCAATACTCCGGATTTTCAGCTTAAAAAATCATTGAAAAAAAGGGAAAAAAGGGGGGTGGGGGGGGGGGGGGGGGGGGGGTTGCGTCAAGTAATGTTCAAGCTGAGTTCATTTGTACTTGCAATACTCTGGATTTTCAGCTTCAACAAAAATTGAAAAATTGGGGGTCGGGGGAGCTGGTGGGGGAAAAAAAGGGGGTAGGGGGTCAAGTAATTTTCAAGCTTGCAATATTCTAGATTTTCAGCTTTAACAATCATTGGAAAGGAGAGGGGGGGGGGGGGGGTGCGGGGAGGGGCGGCGATAGGGCTACCAGCTTCATATGGAGATTGATTTATGTTTTGCCTTGTCTAACATTAGACTACAAAACTGTGTCAACCCTCACCTTTTTATTTGAAAACTATCATTATACTAGCTGTTTGTGAATGTTTCTGTTCTTATTAGACACTTTGTTTATGTCCAAGTTCTTGTTAACAATGCTTGTGATTAACAATGCTTGAGGTTAACAATGCTTGTGATCAACAATGCTTGTGAATAATAATGCTTGTGAATTACAATGCTGGTGATTTTATGGTCTTCCTCCTTTTAATCACATTTCGTTTTGTTGTGTGGGTGGGTTGGGTCGTTGGGATTTTGCTATAAAAAAGATTGCATGGTCTAAAATGTTAGCTAATCCACTGATCATCCTCACTGTACATAAGCGTTCGGGCCCCAACTTCAGCATCTCCCTCAGCGTGTGACAACTGGTATCAATTCCAAGGACAAAGCTGCTTCACGCTGATGAACATTTTTAACCTGAACTCTGTAGCTCGGCGAAGATCTAGAAAAATTCAGTCTCCTTGGTTATTTTATAAACAATACTAATTTGACATAATTGATGAAATCGCTCTATCTTATGTTGGGCGGTTAGAAAAAAAACTGAATGACAGCTGCCATCTCGACCCGGAACTAGAATGCTCGAAGGCCTAAAATTTAGATTTTTGAAATATCCGGAAACCACGAGTTGTTAACCCTTTGGCTCGGTACTATAGATATCGCAACACTTCGGCCTTGATTCCATGACAGATAACGTAAATCTGGGAGAAATGTGGCTTTTCTGCCTACACCCGGGCGTGAACCCGGACCACTTGGAGTTGTTCACCTGGTCGCCGCGCAGTGAGCTGAGAGTTAACTTGTCCAAATTCTTTATTCCTTTGCCAAATCTAAATCTGATTTGTGCCCCTGGGAGTCGCAGGTTAATGGATGTTAGGTAGCCAAACCAGGGCGCGCTTAGATGCTTGATATGAACTGATGTTAGGCGGTCTTAAGCAGTGTTGCCACTTTGGATGTTTTACATCCATATTTAGATGTTTTCCCTTGCATTTAGATAGCGTTTTTGACGTTTAGATGGTAGATGTTTTTCTAGAAATTTGTCATTCGGAGTGAATTTATCAAATCTAATTTAAGAAATAGGATGAAATTTGACCTCTTAAATGCTATCTTGACAATACAATTTTGTCTGATAAGAGTAGGAAAAGGCTGTTCCATTTATCAGCTCACTGATTAGGTATTAAAAGAAATTGGAACAGCTAAAGCATACCAGAGTCATTTTGGATCTGAAGCTTCAACTTCATCATCCAAGCGAAGTTTATCCTGTGGATCTTGTAAGGCAGACTTTAGTAAAGATGTGGGCATGATTCTATAGACTAAATCATATCAATTGCTATGTCATTTGTGACTCTTTCCATTTGGATGTTTTTTCTAAATGTTGTCAACGCAAATTTAGATGTTTTTAGATATTTTTTGAATCCGTTTGGATGTTTTTTGTCAAAGAAAAGTGGCAACACTGGTCTTAATCTGTCATTGACTTCCTCGTCTACACTATTTTTATTCTCCCAGTCTACCAGTCTACCAGTCTCCCAGTCTACCAGTCTCCCAGTCTCCCAGTCTACCAGTCTCCCAGTCTCCCAGTCTCCCAGTCTCCCAGTCTACCAGTCTACCAGTCTACCAGTCTCCAAGTCTCCCAGTCTCACAGTCTACCAGTCTACCTCTGCGTTTTGTGTCTCTATTTGCATATTGGATGCTCTCCCTGCCTGCATAGTTGGATTCATTCTCACTAGGTAGCCAAACCCTTGGAGTCTTTGCTTCTTGGTGAATTTAATGTTAGGCAGTGTTGCACTAATTGTTAATGTTCTGTTTGACGATTATATAATTAAGTTTACAGTTTCTATAGAAGTTTATGTGTGTTTAACGATGTTGTATTTTGTTTTCTCTTTTAAATACAGCAGTCAAACCATTTAAAAAAAAAAAAACGAGTAACAAAAACGCAGTTTCATACCTGTTCATTTCTGATGAACGCGATGCAACATTTGAGTGAAATATAAACTATATAAACAAAACTGAGTTTCACACCTGTTCATATAGGCTGAACGTAATGTAACAGTTTGTGTGAATATTAAAAGAATGAGAAAAACTTACAGCTGGCGGTAAACTGAAGAGGCCTGGCTACAGCATCCAACCTGTCAACACTGAGGGCAACCAGCATGTATGTGGAGGCGTACATGACCAGGACCTATAATAGAGCATTGTACCAGACGAAAAAGCCCTGGCTATATTTTTTAACATTGTGTTTCTGTAATAATGACGATAATAATAATAATAATAATAATAATAATAATAATAATAATAATATAATTAAAATAAATGATAATAATAATAATTTAAACAATGAAAGAGCCCGGCTCTCTAGCGTAGTTGGCTAAACCGGATTGCGCGAAAAAAGGGTGACGAACTCCTTATGGTCCGGTTTCAATCCCGGGGGTTGGCAGGAAAGCCACATTTTCTCCCAGATTTACGGTATTTACAATGGAATCAACGCCGAAAGGTTGCGATATCCATAATACCGAGCCTAAGGGTTAACAACTCATGGCTTCTGGATACTAAAACAAACAACAAACAAACAATGAAAGAATAATAATAATAATAATAATAATAAAGAATAATAATAATAATAATAATAATAATAATAATAATTTAATCAATGAAAGAATATGTCTTGTCGAAAATATAATCGTAACATGCGAAACATTGGTGACGTCTTAAGAGATAACAGCACACTAAGATGAATATCATCAAACTGTATACTTAACTCTACTGCAAAGTGAAGAGACCTGGACAATAATAAAAAAAAAAAATGCAATTGGAAATTCGAACTAATTTTCAGGAGGTGTGGATATGCAGAGGAATAGGTTGTATCTCATAACAGGAAGGGCAAACAAATATAGATATTTCTAAGAGAAGAAGAACAATAAAACAATCGTTAGGTCTGGATGAAATACAGAAGGTTTAAACAGAAAGGAAACGAAATGGCAATCTATATATTTGACCATGTTAGTAGACATGACATTACACTATTTAGAAAAATAATTCGGGGTGAAGGTTGAGGTGGTGACTGGAAGAATAACATTCAGACCTAGGCGAACAACAGTCTCAAACTGTGTGCAGCGAGGACGAGAGAAGGAGCTTATTGGAGATCTATTGTAGCCAACATTTAACTGAGGGGGGCGGGGGGTAGCGTGGGGGGGGGGGAACTTGATTAAATATTAATCACCTTAGGAAAAAAAATGCTCACATATATAAGGTGTTCCATAAGGTGTTCCACAGTCACAGTTTAAAAAAAAAAAATAACCACAGCAGTGTAATACGTCATGTAAAAACAAATCAGCCTAAAGCAAAGTTACAGTGGCGGCAGTTATGGAACATCACATACAAAAACCTGGGCAAATATAGATGTGCACATTACAACAGTCACTTAGTAATATTTGTGAACATCGGTAGTAATATTTGGAGAAAAAAAAATTAGTTTGCATCAGTACAGTGAAGGAATATTTGTGAACCTCTGTGGAAGTATCTGAAAAAAATTATTAAGCATTAGTACAGTCGCCTAGGAATATTTTTGAACATTGGTGGTAATTCAGCAAAAATTACCTAGAAAAGCTACCTAGAATTATTATATTTGTGAACATAGGTGGTAATGTCTGCAAAAATTAATGAGCATTAGTACAGTCACCTAGAATTATTATATTTTTCAATATCGGTGGTAATGTCTGCAACAATTAATGAGCATTAGTACAGTCACCTAGAATTATTATATTTGTGAATATCGGTGGTAATGTCTGCAACAATTAATGAGCATTAGTACAGTCACCTAGAATTATTATATTTGTGAATATCGGTGGTAATATTTGGAAACAAATCCAAGGAATTGTGGAAGAGCAAATTAACAGTAAACATCCACAAAGAAGCCATCAGCAAATTCAACAGAAAGCAACATACAACAATTTTCCGTTGACGAAAAGGACACAGCAGGCTTAACTGCCACATGCATAATATGTAGTTTGTACAGTCCCCACAGTGTGCCTGTCAAACAGAACCACAAACACCTCAGCACATTCTGCAGACATGCCCACTGAACAAACAACTTCGAAAAGACACCTGGCCTCAAGAGCAAAGTGTGCAGAACAATCTATGGGGAACCATGAAGGATCTGCTACCGACATGCGAGTTCATAAAGGCAACCTACCTAACTGTCTGATCTGAGCATACGAAACCGAATTAAAAGAAAATGTGGAGGGAAAAAAAAATCGCTATTAATTACAAATACCTGGGGAATTATAAACAGCAAGAAGAATGTCTAGACTGTCCAATTACCTGTGAAAATTTGTGCAGTTTACAGAAGGCGGCTCCAGCGTACCAGTAGATTGTGATCTTTGTAATGAGGTCTGACAACACGATCAGTGGTCCGTTCAGCAGGTCTGTCGAATAAACCACAGGAACAAGTCATCATAAAAATAAGGCTAAGAAATGCCATATTTACCTTGAGAACACACACATAAATAACGATGAAATGAACAGAGATCTGAATTTGTGCTTTGCTGATTACACTAAAATAGTGTTTTTCAAAATTGTCTTGATCGCGGCCCCTTTTTACAAACAAAATATTTCCGCGGCGCCCTAACCTCAGTAAAAGTAAGACTATGCGTGTCTTAGTTAAATTAATTATGAAGCTTTCACAATATTTTGTGGCGCCCCTGTGAAGAGGTCGCGGCTCCTAGGGGCGCCGCGGCGCACAGTTTGGGAATCACAGGCACTTGAGCATTCTATATCCGAAAGAAATAATGCATTCGATGAAGTGAAAAATGAAGAAATTATTGGAATGTTGGATATTTCAAACACTGATGGTGAAGATCGGAGAATAACAGAAAGCATATACTGGCAACAAGAAGCAGCCATAAAAAGTGACAACCAAGTTGGAATTTTTCAAAACATTAAAGAAGATGTTAGGCAGGGATGTGTACTATCACTAGATTTGTTCAGTTTGAACAGTGAAATGATAATTAGATCTATATGTGGTATGCCAGGGAATTTTAGTTGGTAGACATACTGTGAATAACGAGCAATATGTTGACGATATAGTTTTGATTACTGAAACTGAAATAAGCTGCAAGAAATGATGGACATAACTGTAATAGAGTCAATACATGAGTCTTATTTAAAAAAAAAAAAAAAAATCAGAAGTATTGTTCATTACGAAGAAAATGCAACCTCCTGTGTGCAGCATTTAAGTTAATGGACAATCCCCAAGCAAGCTGATAGTGTAAATACTTGGGTGTCCTGATAACATCAGATGGAAGATGTGTTAAAGAAGTTAAATGTAGGATAAAATAGGATGCATTTTACGAAATGAAGATTATTGTATGCCATCTTTCTTTGCCAACTGAGACCACAAAGACAATTCCCAACATATTTATCAATCCTTTACGGAAATGAAATATGGACATTTAGACGGTAAGTGAGAAATTATCTGGAAGCGATGGAGGTGTAGTCTGTGTGTGTTGTTTTTTTTTTTTTACGAATGATGAGAATACCCTGAACAGATTTCACAGCAACAACAACAACAAAAAAAAAAGTAATGAAGATGTCTTGGGAAAAAAAAAAAAAACTGACTCACGAACAGAAGTGGTTGCCCACACCAGATGGAGATAATCTACATTCCTTGGTCATGTCATGCGAAAACTGGAGTTCATCATGACGGTGTGAAAGTTGAGGGGGTGGGGGTAGGGGGGGGGCGGACAGAGGGAGAGAATGAGAGAAAAGATGCTGGACAGTTGGACATCATGGCATGGAGGATCATCTGTAAGCGAGCTGATTGAAAGTACACGAGGAGACAGACGATTGTGGACACACATGACAACCAAAGCCACACGAAATGGACTATAAGAAGACGGTCTTACCCCAAGACGAAGAAATACTCAAATCCCAGAGAAGGAAACATTACAAATCTAGCCCTCATCACAGTCTAGTCTATGTGTTTTTTTGCCTAATAATGGTTTTATTACATCGTAAAATTTCTCTCCACAGAAGTGAAGATATCAAATCAACCTTGCATTCTCGCTGATGTCTGGGTATTGTGAAGTGAATGTGAGCGGTGCAACACAGTCCCCACGGAGAGGTACTTTATTAGCTCTGCAAGCAAAACTGTCTACACCAGCTTCATTCCAAAATATTTTAACCCGTTTCAGAGTTCAATATCTTTAACGACAATACAACGACAACAGTAGTAGCCGCAAAACAATAACAGAAGCTGCAGCAATTTAACAACAAAAACGGCAGCAGAAAAAAAAATAGTAACGATAGGAGCTGAGGCAGTAGTAGCAACGATAGCAGAAGCAGTCTTAGTAGCAAAAAAAAACAGCAGCCTGACTGAAAACAAAACAAAACAGTAGCTACAAAACAACAAGAGGAGCTGCAGAAGTGGCAACAACAACAGCAGTCGCAAAAAAAAAAAAAAACCACACCCCAATAACAACCACAAAAAGAACAGCAGTAGGAGCAGCAGCAGTAGCAGCATAACCAGCAGTAGTAGCATCAACAACAGCGGCAGGAAACAATAATAACTGCATTAGCAGTAGCAATAACAACTACTACAGTAGAAACAACATCAGCAGCAGCATTATAAAAAATAACAGCAGCAGCATTATAAAAAATAACAGCAGCAGTATTATAAAAAATAACAGCAGCAGTAGCGACAAGAACAACAGCAGCAGTATCGAGAACAACAGCAACAGCAAAAAAAAAACCAAAAAAAAAAAAAACCATAGGAGCAGTAGCAACAAGAACTAGTAACAGTAAAAAGAACACTAGCAGTATCAAAAACAACAATTGTAGGAGCAGCAGCAGAAGCAGCAGCAACAACAGCAACACCGGTAGTAACAACAGCAACAGCGGTAGCAACAACAATAGTATGTGCAGCAGCAGTAGCAACAACAACAGCGGTAGTAACAACAACAGCAGCAGCAAAAACGGCAACAGTGAAAACACTATCAGTAGGAGCAGCAGCAGCAGCACTAATTATAATAATAACAACAGTAAAAACAAAAATAACATTATCTCCCACTGTTTGCCAAAATTATAAGTTGTCATTTAATAGGGGAAAATCAATATCCTATTCGCTAACTCCTGAGAAAAGAAAAAAAAAAAAAAAACAACAACAACTGACCGCACAGGGCTAAGTTCATGATGAAGAAGTTCATGCGGGATCGTCTCCTCTCCTTCGACAGAGCAATGGCAGCCAGAACTATCACGTTGCCGATGACAATAAAAAAGAAAAGTATCACCAGGAAACCAATCTGCGCATCCTGGGAAATATTGGTTAGACAAAAAAAAAAAAATTTAATCGATATAAACATTGTAAAAACATTGACAAGCAAATGTGGAAAAATAAGTTGTAGAAAATAGTAGGTCATGAAAACGCTGTTTTCTTCTAGTTAGTAAAAACTCACTTAAATTGGTATGAATTCAAAATTTCGTGTGGTTATGTTTGGTGTATGTATGTACTGATGAAGGCTATATAACTGCAACGTTGACGTTTAGTTTGCGTTTGTTATATTGTGAAGCTTGCTGATCTACCTCTCATTTGTTTGGTTTTAAATCTTTCCATGAAGGCGTAAGAGGAATATAAAGGCAACCACTAGTAAAAAAAGTTATAAGACAAAGAAAATGGCGTTTTTTTGGACACATCATGGGAGGAAACGAGCAAAGAATCACCAAACAGACACTACAATGGGAAATAAAAGGGAAAGCGGAAGCGAGGACGTCTAAAAGAAACTCTAAAACGGACGTTGCTAAGAGAGACCAAAAGTGCTGGACCGGATCCATACATGATATTGAAATGATTGCACATGATAGGACTGAATAAAGGAACAGACTGCAAGCCCTCTGTGATATATAATGTTACCTAGTTCTACAGCCTTGATAATTTCAACAATAATTTGATTGATATTTGTGTATACTCCACAAGGACCAGGTTCAGACTTGACGAGGCTCGGCTCAGAGGGTGAGTCGATCAGGGAAAATAATCAACCATAGGCCAATACAAAATATGTCTTGATGAAGATTTGAACTCAAGACCTTTGAGACGCCAGGCAAGCTTATAATCACTGCGTTACCACATCTCTCTCTTATCGTTCTCGCATTTAAAAATCCTCCTATTCCAGCCTGTCCCGCTCCCTGTTTCCCTTGTGATATCACCAATGCCATAAATTGTTCTTCTATGAAACTGTTATCACACATATCATGACAAAATCATATATGTATGTATTATACCACCCATGCCACGACATGTCCTTTTTTGAATCTGTCTTATCATATATATTATGACATTTGTAGATGTATGTGTAATACCACACATGCCATGACATGTTTTTATATGAATGTGTTATCACACATATCATGATATATACTTAAATGAAATTGTTATATCACGAGTCCATACATGTTCTTATGTGTCGTTCACACATTTTATCACATGTTCTCAAATGCATCTTTTATATATCATCATCATCATCAGGTCCCTCGTCGACTGGCGTGAGCGATCATGCCTCTCCACAATCTGCGATCTCCTGCAGCATGTATCAGTTCTTGTGCCGACACACCTCAATGCCATGCAACAAGACTGTCATGAATCTTCTCTCATTGTCTTCCTCTATCCCTTTAATACAGATCTTTCCAGTGGTCACAACATGTTTTATTATCCCTCTTCTCATAACATGGCCCTAAAATGATGACTGTCTCCTTCAGATGTCTGTGATAAGTTGTCTTCGGGCTCCCACTTCTTTCAAAACCTCTTGGTTGCTCTTTTTGGCTGTCCAGGATATTCTAAGCATTCTTCTGTAAAACCACATCTCCGGGGCCTCCAGAAATTGTTTGGCCTGCCTACCGATTGTCCAGGACTCATAGCCATTTGTTAAAACTGGATGTATGTAGCAAACAAGAATTCTTTTTCTTACTCTCAATGACAAGGATATATTGCACAAGATGTTTTTCATTTTATAAAATGCAGTTTTTGCCTGTCCTATTCTGTTTCTTATCTCAGTTATGCATTTTCTATCTGATGTTATCCATGTGCCCAGATACTTAAATTTCTGTACTTGTCCCAAAATAACACCATCAACTTTTATTACACATTTAGGATTAATTCATTTATATGATACCACCATTACTTCTGTCTTCCCATTATTCACACTGAGGCCCATTCTTCCACTTTCTAACACCACAATGTCTATCATTTCCTGTAGTTCTTTCAGACTTGTTGCTATCAAGACTGTGTCATCAGCATAACGTAAATTGTTTATATTGTGCCCACCAACCACAATTCCGGGCATACCAATTAACGATCTCATGATATATTCACTGTATATTGAAAACAAATCAGGTGACAGTACACATTCTTGTCGTACGGCCCTCTTTAGCTTCAAAATATACCTAAACAGTTGTTAATTCTTATAGCTGCTGTTTGCTGCCAATACATATTCTTTATTATTCGTAGATCTTTTCCATAAATGTTTAATTTTTCTAACAGTTTGATTACTTCTTCATGCTTCACACAGTCAAATGCTTTTGTATAGTCTATGAAGCATAAGTACAAATCAGTCTTCACTTCTATAGCTCTTTCGATGTCCTTAGGATGTATATGGCATTGTTTGTACCTTTTTCTTCTACAAATCCACATTGTTTATCGCTTTTTTCTGGTTTAATTGTGTTTCTTATTCTTCTCATAATTATTTCCCAAAAATCTGTCATGTGGCTCATAAGACTTATTGTGCGATGGTCTTCACATTTTAAAGTGAAATATATATATATAAAATTCCAATCCTGAGATACAGAAGCGAACCGTTAACAGTTACAAAACCAATGAAAAAGTATGTGGAAACTTCAGAGATGTATTTTTTATACACGAATGATAAAAACTCATTTAACATAAAAAAGAGTAATGAAGATGTTTGAAAGAAATTAACTTACTAAGAGAACTGATAACTACCATCAGAAAAAGGCAGTCTACGTTTTTTTTTGGAGTACACTGCTACGACAAGACAGAAGACAAAGACGTAGATGAAGACCAAAAGAGAATATTATGGACAGTTTGATATCATGGCGTTAAAGAACATCGGTGTTATAAATAATGTGACGTACACGAGACAGAGAGCTATGGATAACCATAACTATCAACGCTACATGGCAGCGGCATGGCTTATAAAAAGAAACATTATATTTCCAACACCTCTCATGATGGGGAGTCGAGTGGTGTAGCGGATATACGCTCGCTAGCGGAACGGAAGGTCGTGGGTTCGGGTCATGGTGGAGCCGGACTTTTGTCAAAAAAGATCTTGACTCCCATGTCGACTCAGCCTTGAGTGGGCACAGGTGCAGTCCTGGGATGTAAAGGCAGCCGGCGTGATACTGACCACATCACCCACCAAATTCCGAGTGGTCTATAAAATGTAGGTCTAGCCCTATATGCCTAATACGAATGAAGTTGTAGAAAAGTGTCCTTTTTCTTACCCGGCATAGTGGATCTTTATTGTTACTCACCTTGTAAAACTCAGGTATATATTGAATGCTTTCATTGTTGGAGCTTCCGTTGTGCTCAGCCTTGTCTCTGATAGGAGATTGTGTGACTGCTGGATTGGTCGCAGTCGTTGAAGTCTGCTCCATCAGAGATGCCATCACAACAACTGAACACCACGCATCTCATACAGAAGGTTACCAGCGTGAACTCTGTTAAAAACACGAAAATTAGGTTTATCGTTTTTCTGTGGGTGTTTGTGTGTGTGGAATCCTTTCATGGCTAAAAATTGACTACCTTTGACATCAAGTGTTTCTTGACTGTTTATTTCTGTGTATTGCATACGGCATTGGGGCCGACTAGTCATTTCTCTTTTTTAAAACTTTCGTTGTATGCTAACACAACATCAAGTTCTGGAGTTTGCATTTATTATTCCACCTATGCTTCTTTCTGTCACCTATGGTGCTCTTTCACTGGTTTGAAATGAATTCTGTCCATTTTCACAAATTGTGGAAGAATGCTTTTGCTATACTTGGCTTACAATCAAACCTTTATATGGTTGTCGCGTGGTCATGCGTATTAGTACAGTTACTTCTGCAGCGAGAAATCGTTGTTAAATGGATTCCCGGCATGAAAACTATAGCTTTCGATTTTTATGTTGTCTAATGTGTCTTCTTGTGTTTATTCTTCATTCTATAAGTGCTGATGAGTTATCTGTGTTTAAAAAAAAAAAATAAAAATAAAAAAATAAATGTCTTCTACGAGACTAAGCATGTTGTTTAGCTATACTGGGCATTTCCTACAAGCTCAGAATTGAAGCCATTGTATTCTTGAGTCCATGTCGAGTGTGCAGTGAAAGTGAAGCGATACCAAAATCACAGCTATCGCATACAGTCTGTCTCTAGTTCGTGTGGAAATAGTGTAGGGGTGGTCAAGTGTTACAATGTTTATATAAATAGGTGCTAGCACGTTCCAAAGGGGGCGGTAACTCCCTCAGTCAAACTGGTAGTGGTGGTGCTGTTGGTGGTGGTGGGGTGGGGGGGGGGGTGGGAGCTGGAATGACACATCAATGGAAGTGGACAGGCAGGGTAACATCATATAGCAAGTCCTTGGCACCATCAGCTCTCATGCCGGTCGACCATAAAGAAACTGGATCTCTCGCCAGCTCTCCCGCCTCGTGTACTTTCCCATACACAGGTGTCAATTATATCATGCACACATCAACGTGCTAGTTGGCCCCTGCCCCCTTTTAGGATACGATGTTTTTTGCTGTTATTCTTTCCGATCCGCTCTATCGCTTTGATATTTCACTTTCAGTGACAGAATGATGTTTACTAGCCAATCTTGTTGAATGTTTAGATATTTCAGTTTGTTGTATTTCTTTTACCCTCGGTCCATGGTATTCCGAGAATCATTCTATATCACTTCAGCTGAAAGATCCCCTATTTTCTTCCCTAATGACTCCAAGATAGTCCACGACTCACATGCGTGTGTTGCTACAAGGAAGAAGCTTTTAAGTTTTTATTTTCATTTTCTTGCTGGTGCTGAGACATAGACTTGTAATGCTGTTTAATCCTTTTTTTGTGACCTAATTTCAACAGTCTCCATTGCTGTTTATTATGCACCTAGATATTCAGTTTGTTTCATCACGTATAGCTATGTTTTGGTGACAGACTGTTTCGGCTGTGAACATTATTTTTTTTTCTTTAAATCGAGGAACAGGATTCGATCTTCAACGGGTTAAAAGCAGGGTATAGAACACTAGAAATGAACAAGAAGCAATGATAGCATTGTGGCTGCTTTTCTTTTATAATGACTCCGTGGCCATCTGTTTGTATCTCCTCAAAAGGATTCTTTTTTTACTGACTGGCTCCTCGGCTGATACTGTTAAAGATGAGCACATACAAGGACATTGTTTTGGAAATAATAGCAGATGGCATGACCAAGATCAAATCACGTCGGGCACCACTAAGTCTAAAATACTGGGAAAGCAATAAATACCCAACACGATTCATGGATTAAAACAGATAAAGTTAAATAAAAAAAAAAAAAAAATGGAAACACTTGTTGCAAAGATAAGATTAAATAATAAAGAAGACATTGCCAAATTTCACAGCAGATTATAACAACAGCTAGCCACGACGATATGTCTCTTGTTTATTGGCAGACTGCATCTCCAGGGACTCTGGGATCGTGAGCTAAAAAATCAGAATGCCCAACGACTAAAATCTTCGGCGCCGCAGAAAACCCCTGAAATTCTCAAAGAAGAATTAAGCCTGGACAGTTGTTGCATGTACTAGTTTTTCTGTACACGATTTCATTCTGGACGTTCAGATCTTAAGAAAGGAAAGTGTCCGCATTGGGACAATTTGCCAGAAACAAAAGCGGATACTTTAAACCTGCTGATGGCGAACTGGTATTTGGCATGCAGAATTAAGGTTTAGAATTGCTTCTTATCATGAATAGCAATAACACGTAACCGTTTTTTATTGCTTTAGCGTTGTAAGATAGAATGACCACATTCCGGTATAAATTCGGGCATCGATTTGTCAGAATAATACTGATTTTGGGAAATTGAGACATTTGCAGCATGGATAATAAAACAGTGAGTTTCCCTGTGGGTTCAAGAGTAGCATTGTTGGTGTGGGGGGGGGGGGGGGTTAAAGGCGGTCAAGGTGGGGGGGGGGGGGTTAATAGACACATTGCTCCTGAAAAAAAAGCATATCTGACGGACGGGCGCTGATATCGCCGAGCTGTCAACCACAACACAACATTCCAACACGCGGTCAATGGCAACGTCGAAGAAGAAAACAAGAAGAAGAAGAAGAAATAAAGTATTAGCAGTGAGAAAAGGATTCAGAATTAGAAATTCCAGATAATATTTGATGTAAACAGCGTTACATTCATGCCAGTTTGGCGTTATTCACAACCGGAAATTACAGAAAACATTGTATGTAACATGTACCAGCGCCCGGCTCGCTAGCGTAGTTGACTAAACCTTACTGTACCGGGTGACGAACTTCTTGTGGTCTGGGTTCACCCCTGGGGGTAGGCAAAAAAGACATATTTCCCCCAGATTTACGATATTTATCATGAAATCAAGGCCGAATTGTTGCGATATCCATAATACCGAGCCTAAGGGTTAACAACTCACGGCTTCTGGATACTAAAAAAAAAAAAAAAATACATGTATTAGCATGCAGAACATTACTATAAACAATACTACAAAGTATTCCAGGATCCTCGCCGGTAATACGGAGTTCGTGCACTGCGCTGAGATTCTTCAGACTCAGGCTTGAGTTAGAAGTAGAACGGATCACTTAAGGGTTGCACCTGTGTGCCATGATGTTAATCCGTCGACTAAACCAAACCAGACAATACTATTAGCATATTTCTTTGACATGGAAATTTTTGCTAATTTAGTAGTCTACTAGTATAATATTCCCATGTTCTTCTTCCTTGTTCGCTTGAAATAGATTACCTATATCTGCAATGTTGTCTCTAGTATGAAGTTCACTCTCCTTTGCAATTCACTCAGCGACAAGTAGTTTGGCTTGCACCGGTGTTTTTCTCAGCCAAAGGTTTTGCGTTGATATGCTGTATTTGGGACAGTTGTGGGAGTACGTGATCTGTTGTCTCATGATCTTTTCTTTACATGTGGCTGCGAAGTCGACTGTGTTCTTTTCTGAGGCATAGAAAAATAACTTGCTCTGGTCTGCTTTTTTTTTGTGTTTTTTTGTTCGATAAGTTCTTCTGTTTCCTTGACTGATTTTATTTAATACGAATTGACTACACCCACATGATAAATTATGTTAACAGACAGAAACATTATAGCTGGTTCTGGGGACTTGTATTTTGACTTAATAATTTAAAGCTTCCTTGACATTCCAGTAACGCGTGGGGCATGCGCGGCTAGTCTCATATATTTACTGACCAGGTTATGTATCCAGTTAATTCCCGGTCTGCCTCTTCTCCTCTTCCGCTCCATTAAACCTTATAGTGTTGTATTTTGAGAGGTCATTCGATCTTATTACATGTCCTTACCATTGCATTTGCCGTTTTTTTTAAAACTGTAGTTAAAGTAGGTTCATAGTTGCAAATAAGCTGGTTAATTATACGGTGGACCTCAACATTTGTGATGTGGCCTTTGTATGAAATGCCAACGATTTTTTTGGAAAGATCCCCAATAGCTACAACTAGCGATATGATTTCTTTCCGTCCTAAAAGGCTGTTTTGCAACACAGACAGGAAGGAGTGATGGTTCATCATCATCATGTGCTCTGCCAACTGGCGTAGGCGCTCATGCATCTCCACAGATCACGATCCCTGGTTGCCTGGAACAGCTCTCTTGATGATATCTTTCCATGCCATCGTTTCAGCCCATCCAGCATCGTCTCTCTCAGTCTGCCTCTACCCCTCTTTCCACTGATCTTTCCAGTTGTCATGATGTCTTCCAATGCCTCTCTTCTCATTAAGTGGCCAAAGAACAGTGATCGTCTCCTTGTTATTGGGTAATGGTTACTATACAAATTTTGAAAGGAACTAGAGAAAATCATGAAACTCACGAGGAAGAGACAGAATTCGACGAAGTTAATTGAAACTAGCTAGAGCATCTCGGAATAATATGTCTGTAAGCACGTGTATTGATAACTACTCTGTCAAGACATCTACCGTGCAGTCAACATAAAGGCTAAAGTCCTTTACTGATACTTCCATTTGAATAGAAACTATTTGGTCCAAGTACAGTAGAACCTTGCTTAACGAGTACTCTCATAACGAGTAATTCGCATAACGAGCAAAACAAATTGTAAAAAAATGACTTGCTTAACGAGCGACGTTTCGCATAACGAGTGGCGAGTAGAGGGGATATTCCGGATTATGCGCATGTTATATCAGTCTGTGTTTAGCACTCGTTCCAGTAGCATCGTAGTGTCGTTGTGATCACACATTTTCTCAAACTTGTGTTATATTGTGATGTATGTACATGAATCCTCCAGGCCTACAAGATGAACTCCCTGAAGAATTTAAGTTCATCAAGATCCAGTTTCTGCCTCCCAACACCACCCCGTTACGTTACACCACCCCAGCTACATGCAAACACCACCCCGTTACTGATTGTAAAGCTCGCTCGGTCAGGGTTCCAGGTAACATGTGGCGATAT